AAGATCAAATCTATTTTTTCTCACACTAAAGACAAAATCAACAAATTGTCAAAAAGTGGTATTTATAAATTATCCTGTGGTGAATTCTCGGTGACCTATGTGGGTAGACCAATGCGACTTTTGAATATACGCATTAAAGAACATCTGTCTAAGATTGATAAATCTAGGTTTGGGAATCATATACATGCTTCAAAGCATGGCTTTAGTACTCATAGAAATAGCAAGATCCTACACAGTATCCCCAATAATAATTATATAAAAATGAATTTACTAGAAGATCTAGAAATCAGAAGAGAAATGAAAAGGAATCCTCACAACTGTGTCAACACTCAAATTAACTTTAATTGTAAGTTTGATCCAATCTTTAAGAAGTTTCTTTAATAATACATTTAGTATACAATTAACCATCGATTGATCAAGCTTTGACCTTTATTTAAAAAAAAAAAAAAATAAAAAAAAATTTCTTGAATTTTCTTTCATTGATTTCATCTAAGTAGAAAATGTTTGATATTTATCTTCTTCTTTATTTATTTTAATAATAATATTGATAATCAATAATAGCTATTGAACTCTTAACTTGGCAAATGATACTTCTCCTTGTTTCATTTTCATCTACTTTCTTCTACTTGGTCAAACTTTAAAAGTTTTGTTTTTTGATATTTTTGATAAATGTATATTTTAACTTTTCACGTTGACTTATCAATAAATTATTTTACACACTATCAATTTTATTGAAAACATACAAAAACCTGCTTACCAGTTAGACCTATTTAGAAGTGTGTACAAGTCTTACAGTCTTTTTCAATTCCTTCAATAAAAACCCATAATTTAACCGTATACAGATCGGGTAAGGGTGACTTTGACTTGTTTTTGTTGAATTTTGAGAATATCATAACGTCCTTGCTTAGTAAAGCAGACAAACTGATCATACTTGGTGATTTTAATATAAATTGAATAAAATATTGAGGCTCTAAAGTAATAACAATTTTTATCCATTGTCATCGACCTAGAGTCACAACATAATTAAAATTTAAAATTTAGAATGATGTAAACCCATATATGGAGGTCACAGCGATAACTTTATTGTTACCTTCAATTACATAAGGCACTGAGGATGATCTGTTCAGATCGAAAACGTTATGCTAGTACATAAATTTTGACACTTTTTTAAAAAGTTTTAATTATGTGTTTTATACCACAATACAAGTGTGAAGTGTTTTAACTTCTGTGTTTTTTTAATAGAATCTAGTTAGTTGACTGGTTCTTTTAGTTGGTCATCTGTTCTGCGCTTGCTGCATTCCAATTCTATGATTCTGTGACTGTCGTAGTACAGGACAGTCTTACTCACGACATTAGAAATGCAGCAGTCCAATTTTGTGTGTCCAAATTGCCCAATTCTTTTAAACCTTCAAAAGAGTGTAAGTCGCATCAATCATACTGCCCTTCAAGTTTATATATGGCGACGGCATTGCAGAGAATTTACTGTTTCTCCATTCTTTTTGAGAATTCGACCCAACATCAGCAGCTTACAAGATTGGCAAACTTAAACTTACTAAACTTTTACAGAAACATTCTGAGTTAGCTAGCGAAACAGCATTATGACTCAGTGATAAATCTGAGCTATCTTTATTTACTGTCGCTATAGAACATTTTTTAGTCTCTTTATGTGGTAGAAGTAAAGATCATTCTCTGACAGCATGAGATACAAACAATTCGCAAAGACAGTGACCAAAAATGCATTTAACTAATCCTCGTTTCCGCCAACACAAGATGCAGCTTGTTTCCACGGCCTTAAAGTTAATCATTAGGAAATATTGCAATTCTGAAGATTGGGACTGAAAAAACCATGGAACAATTTAAAAACCAATTAAAACTTTCAGAACTCTAGCACTCCCCAATCTTCTGAAATTAATTTTCTGCAGAAGCAAGGGAAACTGTGAAAGTATGTCTGGTTGCCAAAAAGCAGACCTTAAATGCTCTACAGGGTACCTCAATTGTTCTGGTGAGACCAGCAGTAACATTATGAATAAGAATGTAATAAAAAATTTGAAGAATTAGAAAATGAATTGTCCACAATGATGCCAAATCTAACTCCCGTTCTTCCGCAAACATTTACCTTCGACAACGAAGTTGAACCGTATTATAGGTGATTAGGAAAAAGTTCGATGATAACCTGATAATAACAGGAATGTTATCAAAATGATGTATATGAAGAAAAAAATATTAAATAGAAAACTAAGCTTAATTAATTGTTTTATAATTTTCTTATAAGTATTCAAAAACCCGGTCAAGTTCAGATTACTGTAAAACCTAAAGAAATTAATAAAATAAACAAATTTTTAGTGAAAATTATTCTTTGAAAAACCTATATAATATTGCTTTAATACCATTTTTTCGTAAAAATACCTAATAAAAAGTTATAAAGCTCATAAGAAAATTTGTTGTACAAAAATTTTTAGTTATTTTTGTTTATAACTTTTTTATTTTACGATTACAAGTAATCACAATAAAGTTAAAGGCACTTTAATTTGCTACAAATAATTTTAAATAAAATATTCTATAGAGCTGTTAATTTACGAGATATAGCGCGAAAACCCGTTGGCCCTCTTTTTCTAAGATGATAATGTAGAAGAGGGAATTGGAAGTGGAGTAACATAATTTAGACTAAAAATTTTAAAAAATTTAAAAATTTTAATTAAGAAAAATCTAAAATAATAATATTACCCTAAACTGGGAATAAACTTCTTGTTATACCAATGAACCTTAACGACATTATAAAGAATCATAAGACCTACTTTGACATGTCAGCGCATGCGTTCTGGTTATTGCCGAAAACAAAAATTTAGTTATTGTCGACAACTCAAAGAATAAATTCCTTTAAAATGTAGTTGCATTAGGTTTTTCGGTTAGCCTTGGGAACACCTATACGTTCCAAGTTCAAAGCTACCATACATTTCCAACGCTAAATTTTTTTACATAGTAACATAAAACCACTATGTTGTTACTAGCTAAGTTTTTTTTATCATCCTAACTCTACAATTCTAAGTTACGATAAGATCTTCAGTGATTTTTAAATAGATAATATATGGTAGCTAATTATAATTTCTTATCTTTCAGCCTAGAAGACGCCAAATTAATTATTTTTGGCGAAAACGTTCTGCGAAATAATTGATACTCATTTGAGTCTTTCTTGCAGATTTCCCCAATATTTAACTTATCTGCAAAGATTAAATTTGTTTTCTATATAATATATATATATATATATATATATATATATATATATTGAAATGATTTCAATAGGTCAAAGAGGATATAACTTAAAGGGATTTTTATATGAGTTTGTTGTTCATGAATTTCATGAAGCCATCACAATGTGGGGTCGACTCTGAAATAAAAGGGAGAAAAGATTAGTAAATTGCTAAATAAATTAATTTTGACTTACCTGGTATAGTGTTAATAATTTCTGAATAGTATAGTTGCCTAGTGTATAGGTGAATCGTCTAAACCTTAAAAGGAATAAAAAAGAAGAATTCTTAAAAAATTATTTAAACATAGAAATTTCAAAAATAAACGTCAGAAAAATAAACTGTCAAAAGTCTGTGGGAACTAAATTAATAGGGGTTTTGTTAAATAAATTACAATGATGTGGAGATGAAAAGAATAAATTATATTAGTATTGTTAAGTTTTATATCTGAATTTTTTTTTATAAATTCCCAAATTAGATGTGATTAAAGTGCTTATGAGAAATTAATGTGGTTTGACAAATATGTCAAAACAGGACAGTTTTATGGTTGAATAAAATAGAAGACGGAATGAAAAAAGAAAGGGGGTTGCTGTTAGCAACGAATAATTTTGGTGGTTGGTGCTAGCTATGGCGGTTAACAAGGAAGAATAGGTTGTTGGAGGCGACGAAAATTTTGGAGGAAGAGCCCTAAAAAGGTGGAATAGTCCGGGAGTGCTTTAAAATCGTTTAATTATAATTTAGTTTTTCCACATTTTCAAATAGAGATATCCAGAATTTGTTCCAGAGAGTAAGAGAAATTTTGACTTATAAATTATAATTGGAGTGCAGAAATGTCATTTAGATTGAAAAAGTAAAAATTCATGAATTAACTAATTGCGATAGGCCTTAAAAATTGAAATATTAATGATCATTAAAATAAAAATATAATAGTACGTACCTTTAACTTCCGAAGAGAGGATAGATATTCCAGTATCACCGATTATTTTGCGAGTAGTTAGTTTTCTTTAAAAAAAAAAATCAGAACTGTTTGAAAGTGAGTTTGGATAATAATTTTGGGGATCATTTGAAATTTTGATTATATTTTAATGCTAGTTATAAGTCAGCGGCATAAAGTGTTCAGTTTTCTTTTCTTTATATTTCATTTAAACACTTTATAAAGTTGCAATAGTCATTTAGATTTAAGGTAATTGTAGAGAGTTTCCACATTTTGTAATCAAATTCTATTTTCACGACACATTAAGGTTTACACGATTCCTATTTTTGTAAATTTTTAAAGGCAACCCAAGTTGCAGACGAATTTTATTGTTTATATTAAATTTGTTCAATATTAATAAATAACGTGCTTCATTTGGGTTAATTTATCAAAAATATAAAGTAAATTTTGGTTTAATTTCTTTTTGAACTCTACCAGGAGACTACAGAGTTGACGTCACACAGTGACAGATTGCTTAGAACAAATAATTGAGCTAGCCGAGGTATAGTATATTAACAACGAACTACATACTTTTAAAATTCACTTCAATTCAATTAAAATTATATTTATTAACAATAAAACATAAAAATAATAAAAACAAAACTATTACAATTGGCGCTAACAACGTGGAGCCTCTGGGAAAACAGAAATAAGGGTGTAATTTTTAAGCAGATTTATTAATAATACACAGATTAAAATAAAAACAAATTGGTGTGATTAGAGTTGTAGAGATTCTGGGGTAGTTAAAGTTAAATTTGAGAATAAATAGAGATTAGGATAAAATGGCAGACCGAATGACTTTAAGAAATGGAAAAGAAATCGTACCGAAAGAGAGTGAAGGAGAACAGGTGTTAGAACAGGAACAGGGTATACAGGTAGATGAAGAAAGCAGAGGAGGATCAGGAGAATTTGTAGTACAATATTTAGAGCAAGGCAGACAAGAAGCAGGACAAGGTGATAGAGAGGGAAGTCTAACAGATAGTTTGAGAGAGGAGTTGGATGAGACAGTGAGAGATAGACGTGATGAAAGTGTGGATGAATGTAGAGTGCAGGAGGAGAGACGTAGGGAAGGAGATGTTGGAGAGTCAGGGATGACACAGATGGATATGAGGCAAATAATGCGGATGTTACAACAGATGGATCATAATATTAGGGGAGATATGCACAAAATGGATAGTAATATTAACAATATTAGGGGGGATATGAACAAAATGGAAAATAATATTAAAGGAGAACTTAGGGAAGAGTTAATTAAAATGAGGGAAGAAATCAAAGAAGAAGTGAAGATAGTCAGGGAAGAGATGCTACAAATTACCCAAGGTTTAGAAGAGAAAGTAGAACAGGTCAGAGGAGAAAGTGAGAATTTTAAGAGGAATGTACAGGAGGAGATATCCAGAGAAAAGGCCATAATTAGAGCGGAAATAGGACAGGAAATTGGGAGCAGATTTGTAGAGTTGGGAACAGCCATTAAAGAGAATTTACCAATGGAAATAAACATGTAACGATGTCATCACGGTTCAACAGCTTGAACCGTAGGAGTGTCAGCGTTGGCGCTTCCACCTCCTTAGCACGATGTGAGTGGGGTTCAGAGCAACTATTTAAGGCATATGAATAGCGGCATTTATTCAGTCTTTGGCTTAGCGCCTTAGGCTCCTCTCTTCGCCAGTGTTCTGAACTGGCGAGCCCACCCGGACGGAGGTAGTTCCGCTTTGAGGTTCACGCTCCATCCATAATCAAGCAGAGTCTATCGATATCGTGTTTTGAACTTTATCGCGGACCTGCATAAGCGATTGTTGACGAGTGTGTTCGGAGCTCCCGCTGAATTGAAGCGGAAGCGAGTATAAGTCTGAGTGCGATTGACTTCTTCTATTTTATTAGTTTTGTTATTAATAATTATTCTTTTCTTTCTTTTGTAGACGTTCGCCGGTGATTCCTTCATCGCGGAACCCAGACGGAGCGCAGAGTTAATTTTTATGTTTATTTTTATACGGCATAGAATTTATTTTATTTTTATTTATATTGTACATACATTAGACCAATAGATATATTTTTATTTTAACCTGTGTTTTACTGAGTCTGTCGTCCTGAAAGAGCTACCCGTTACAAATTGGCGCCCGAGAAAAATTGAGGATTGAAAAGTTACTAAAAATTAGTAACATGCCGACAGATAAAGACACAGACTCAGTAACAGGTACGTCCTGGATAAACCGACTTTGCAAAGAGGAATTGCAGAGCGAGGCCGAAAAATTCGGCTTAGATTCCAAGGGAACCGTCGACGAATTGAGAGTACGACTCAGGACATATTTTAAAAATCGCGAGGAAGCGACAGGAGCAATGCAAAAAGAAAAAACTTCCAAGGGAACAGAATCCGACACACTGGCCCAGGAAATTTCGGGTATCCGAAGACAATTACAAGAATTAACAATAACGAAACAAATGGGGCAATCAGAATTGCTAAATCAAGTACGAAGGTGGAACACACACTTCGACAAGAAACATTCGGATGCAATAGAATTCTTAGAGAGGATAGACGAATTAAGCTTGGCCTACGAGATCGATAAACAAGATCTATTAAGAGCATTACCAGAGTTATTAGGAGACCACGCTTTGTTATGGTACAGAAACAATAACAAAAATTGGAAGTCATGGGCAGATTTCAGCGAAGATTTTAAAAAAGCTTTCTATCCCAGAGGATATTTGCTGCAACTAGAGGAGCAAATCCGAAACAGAAAACAGAGACAAAATGAGCCGGTGGATAGATATATCACGGAGATTCAAACACTAATCAGACGAGAAGGATCGTTTTCCAGAAACCAAGAACTCGAAAGGATATACAAAAATCTGTTACCAGAATATAAGCTTTATGCTCGCCGCCGAGATTTTGAAAACTTAGCCGAATTACAAGATTTAGCCCAAGAATACGAAGCTCTAGAAGACGAAAAGACCCGATCAAATCAGAGTTGCCGTGGAAACTGGAGACGCACGGACCAAGCAGAGTACGATGCCAAAACGACATGCTTTAGATGCAAGATGCCAGGTCACATCCGTAAAAACTGCAAAAACCCGTGGAAAAAGTTTTGTTCGCGTTGCGGCAGAGAAGGGGTTTACAGCAACGACTGCTGTTTTAGGCGTCAGGGAAACGAATTACAGACTGGAGAAACAAGGAGTCGTCCCAGTCTGTAAAGCAAGATTCGACTCCATTCGTTTTCGCCGTTACACAGCCAGCAAGCAATGACATTCGGCTGTTCGCATCGCTGAAAATAGGGCAAAGAACATACAGAGCGCTCATCGACACAGGAACCACTAAAAATTACGTCGGGGATAGAATAGCTAAGACATACAAAGACTCTCTAGATAGCTACAGCGGGAGAACAAGACTAGCAAATGGAGCGTCAATGGAGCTTAACCAGAAGTTGACGATTGAATGCGAGATCGATAGGTTACAAACCCGACAAACATTCATAGTAATGCCAGGGTTGACGGAAGATGCCTTACTAGGAGTGGAATTCCTTAGGAACCATTCTATCGAACTTAAATTCGATAAACATACGACCAAACAATACGTACAACATCAAGAAGAGGCATGTAATACTTTAAAAGACTCCACCAAAAATACAGAGCTAGAAAGGTTTCTAAGAAAAGAACTAAGGGAGTTTGAGAACATAACAGGACCCACTAACTTAATAGAACACGAAATAAAATTGAAGACAAAATGCGATCCAGTCAAACAGCCTTATAGACGACACAATCCCGCAATGCTGCAGATCATCAACCAAGAAGTAGACAAGATGTTAAAAGAAGGAACCATCGAACCCTCCACAAGTGGTTGGAGTTCACCGATTGTACTAGTTAGGAAAAAAGATAACTCGTACAGGTTTTGCATTGACTTTAGAAAAGTCAACGAACTATCAGATAAGGACGCATATCCGTTACCCAGAATATCGGAAATTCTGGATAGACTTAAGGAAGCAAATTTTATATCAACCCTCGATTTGAAACAGGGATATTTTCAAATACCCCTAGAAGAAACTAGCCGCCCAGTGACAGCATTCAGCGTACCCGGAAAAGGCCATTTTCAGTTCAAAACCACCCCATTTGGACTGCATTCCGCAGGAGCCACTTTCCAACGCCTACTGGATAAGGTAATACCTCCTGATATGGAATTCGCGTTTGCCTACTTGGATGATATCGTAGTAATATCTAAAACGCTCCAAGAGCATTTAGATCACCTACAGGAAGTCTTCCGAAGACTGAAAGAAGCCAGGTTACAACTAAACTTTGAGAAATGCACGTTTTGCCAGTCAGAACTCAGATACTTAGGACATGTGGTTGGAGCAGAAGGAATAAAAACTGACCCGGAGAAAACCAACGCTATAACCGGACTCACAGCACCGAGAAATGTGCGTCAACTCCGCCGGTTCCTAGGAATAACATCATGGTACCGCCGATTTATAGAGAACTATTCGACAATAGCAGGACCGCTAAACATGCTTCTGAAGAAGAAGATAAGATGGAAATGGACCGATAAGCAAGAAAACGCGTTTGAAGAGCTAAAATCAAAACTTACATCGGCCCCAGTATTAGCATGCCCCGATTTTTCAAAAACATTTTACCTGCAAACAGATGCGTCGAACTGCGGACTTGGAGTCGCACTAACACAGAAGTACGACGGCCAGGATAAAGTAATCGCATATGCTAGTCGAACCCTCACACCAGCCGAGACAAAATATTCCACAACGGAAAAAGAATGTCTATCCATCGTGTACGGGATAAAGCAAATGAGGCCATATATAGAAGGATACAATTTTAAGGTCATATCAGACCACCAGTCCCTCAAATGGCTGAAAAACCTTAAAAACCCGTCAGGTCGATTAGCCAGGTGGAGTTTAGAACTGCAACAGTACGATTTTGAGGTAATATATAGAAAGGGAGTCCTCAACAAGGTAGCAGATGCTTTGTCACGACAACCACAGGAAAACCAGAGCGAAGAACCAGAGTTGGAATTATTAGCATCAGAACTGGAATCATGCAGTTGGTACGATAATTTATATAGAAATGTACTCCAGAACCCAGACGATTTCCCGGATCTACAAATAACAAACGGGAAGTTATATAAACACATTTGGAGCAGCCGTAATTTAGCCGACCCAGAGTTTAATAACCCATGGAAGTTATGCGTACCAAGATATAAAAGGAAAGATATTTTGGAGGAAAATCATGACTCGACCACAGCAGGCCATTTAGGAATTGCAAAAACAATTTGCCGAATAGCGCAAAAGTACTACTGGCCTAAGATGTTTAAACAAATCGCAGACTACGTTAGAGCTTGTACGAAGTGCCTCCAATATAAACCGTCTCAAATGCAACCAGCCGGGAAAATGCAACCGTCCACTGTAGAAAAGCCTTGGCATACTGTCTCAGTTGATTTAATGGGACCATTCCCAAGATCTGCAAAAGGAAACATTTTCTTAATAGTCGCGCAAGACCGGTTTACCAAATGGGTCGTCGCCCAGCCAATAAGAGCAGCATCTACGAACTCCATCATCGACACTTTACGATCGAAGGTAATTATGCAGTTCGGTATCCCGACGAAAATCATTTCGGACAACGGCGCGCAGTTCACAAGCAGCAATTTTAAGGCGTTCCTAAAGTCCTATAACATAAATCACATTCTAACACCGCCGTACTCACCTCAATGCAATCCAGTGGAACGAATGAACAAAGTACTGAAAACGATGATAGCCACTTACGTAGAAGATAACCATAAAGACTGGGACAAATTCATACCAGAATTCTGCTACGCCGTAAATTCGTCAAGACACGATTCAACAGGGTTTTCACCAGCGCTCCTTAATTTCGGAAGAGAATTAGACACAACAGAGGCGACAAACGTACAAGATATAAAGGGGTATGCAGAAAACTTAAACAAGTTAGAAGCGTTAAGAGAACTGGCGAAAGTGCACATGGAACACGCTTTCGAGGACCAAAAGAAACATTACGATCTAAGACGAAGAGACTGGCGACCACATCCAGGAGATCGAGTCATGAAAAAGGAACACCATCTATCATCGGCTAGTGCAGCTTTCACCAGCAAACTAGCGCCGAAATACTCAGGGCCATACATAGTAACATCAGTAATATCACCAGTAATAGTAAAACTGAAATTGGCCGATAGTAATACCCGCAAGCAGATAACGGCACATGTAAAAGATTTAAAACCTTGGGTGGGGGAAAATGTCATTACACAAATCGAATCCCCACCACAACCAAACGGTATTTAAAGAGCGGTGCTAGCAAGCAAAATTCAGTTCATCCACATCTAACATGGAAGACATACTAGAGATACCAGAACAGATGACCCCTCTGGGAACGCCAGAGAAACCCGAACTGCCCGTGACACCAGGAAAAGACGCAGAGAGAATGTTGAAAAGATTCCACGAACTGTTTGGGACACCACCAACACCACCGAAGAAGAAAAGCGTACCCGATACGATAACCGGACCTGAAGCACAGTCGGCATCCACTCCAGGCGAACCAGAACCCGGGAGACACGCCGATCTTGTAGAGATCGTCCCACAACACCTAATAGAGAGGGGGACCAAAAGATACAGATTGTACTGCAACAACAGGAAGAAGATCGTAATAAAGATTCCAAGAGGGATAAATGGCATTACAAGGCTGTAGACGCCATATACAAAAAAAAGGTATGCTACTTTTTTTTTTTTTTCCAAAGAGAAGGGGGTGTAACGATGTCATCACGGTTCAACAGCTTGAACCGTAGGAGTGTCAGCGTTGGCGCTTCCACCTCCTTAGCACGATGTGAGTGGGGTTCAGAGCAACTATTTAAGGCATATGAATAGCGGCATTTATTCAGTCTTTGGCTTAGCGCCTTAGGCTCCTCTCTTCGCCAGTGTTCTGAACTGGCGAGCCCACCCGGACGGAGGTAGTTCCGCTTTGAGGTTCACGCTCCATCCATAATCAAGCAGAGTCTATCGATATCGTGTTTTGAACTTTATCGCGGACCTGCATAAGCGATTGTTGACGAGTGTGTTCGGAGCTCCCGCTGAATTGAAGCGGAAGCGAGTATAAGTCTGAGTGCGATTGACTTCTTCTATTTTATTAGTTTTGTTATTAATAATTATTCTTTTCTTTCTTTTGTAGACGTTCGCCGGTGATTCCTTCATCGCGGAACCCAGACGGAGCGCAGAGTTAATTTTTATGTTTATTTTTATACGGCATAGAATTTATTTTATTTTTATTTATATTGTACATACATTAGACCAATAGATATATTTTTATTTTAACCTGTGTTTTACTGAGTCTGTCGTCCTGAAAGAGCTACCCGTTACAAACAAAGAAGTTAATAAGCAGAATAAAGAGATTGTTAGGGAGGTAGAAAGTGTTAAAAGGCAAACTCAGGATTATGAGGAAAAAATTACCATTATAAAAAATAATATAAAGAAGGGATTGCAGAATTTGGAACTGGAAATGGGTATGCATGCAAATCAGGCGGAAAAGGGAGATAGAGTATTACAGGGACAAGTTGAGGAATTGAGAGAGAAATTTAAAAATGCAAGTGAGGAGATTCAGCGTTTGGAATCAAATCTAGGACAAACAAGAGTAGTGAGTACTGTGATGCCGAGTTATAATGATGGGGGAATAAAGTTTGATGGAAACCTGAATTACTTACATCCTAGAATATTTGTAGATATCATCAAAAATAAGGTAAAGAATGTAAGGGATCCAATAGAAATGAAATTGAATATTCGAAACATGTTAGTGGGCATGCCATTATTATGGTTTTGCAATAATGAAAATTCCATAAATAATGTGCAGGAATTTGAGGCCAAGTTTATTAACTATTTTTGGGGAGAAAACCAACAGGCTAGTTTCAGGGAGCGGTTGTATTTTGGGAAATTCAATTATGAAAAAAGTACCAACTACAATCTGTACGCAATGCAGTTATTCCAGACAGCACAATATTTAGAACCGGCTATGCGAGAAGAGGAGATTGTCCTATACATTGCCAGGCAATATAACCATAACATGGCAGAAACAATAGCTCTCCACAATATAAAGACGATGGAAAGTTTGACAGGATATCTTCAGAGGATTGAGAGGAGTGTAGGGACGCAGAATCGAAATGGACAAGAGCAAGTGACATATAGGAATAACACAGCAAATAGACAGGGATATGTGAATCGAGGGAATAATTATAGGGAAAGAGAATTTGAGAGACAAAATAGAAGCAGGGATTTTACAAATAGGGGAGAGAATATGAACAATGTCAGGAGAGATATCGGACGATATAACTGGGAACGTAGACAAGGGAATCCAAACAATGATAGAGAGAATAACTGGAGACAAGGGAATGACAGAGGCAATAATTGGAGACAGAACCAGGGAAATTATCCACAGGAGACGAGAAATAGGGAAGTTTACAGAGAAGGGAATCCAAGATATAATAGGGGGGAAAATGAGGAGAGAAGACAGGTGAATGTAGTTAGAACAGAGGAGAATAGGGGGGAAGCAAGTGTTGATGTAGAAGGGAGAAATTTTGTTTAGACCGCTCCTATGTGCATAATATTGTCTACTTATCAAAGTATGAACATCCAAGGGAGTTTATTAGAGATACTGGGGAATTAAATAAAAATAATAACACTAATACTTTAAAGCTTATTGAAGGGTACATACAAGATTCAGTATACAAGTTATTATTAGATACAGGTTCAGAAGTAACTCTAATCAACAAAAACATTGTAAATAATTTAAATAAGGACAATATTATGGTGATAAAAACAAATAAATTATCATTAGTAGGGGCGAATAATAAAAAATTATATGATACTAATAGTTCTATAATCTGTAATGTAAAATTGGGAAATAAAATGTATGAAATGCAAATGTTAGTGGTAGATCACTTAAATTTTGAGATAGTATTGGGAAATGATGAAATGGAAAAACATAAAATGATTATTAACTATGTCAATCAAACTTTACAAATTGATCAAGAATCTATTAAATTTTGTAAATTAAATAAAGAAGAGATTTTAAATAAAGAAGAATTTCAGATTTGTCAAGTAAACAGTTCAGAAGAAATTATTGTAGTGCCAAAGGAACATGAAATGGAGATAAGAATTTTGTTAAAGGAACATCAGAGGTTATTCAATCAAGAGGTGTGTGTGGCAAAGCAATATGTACATAAATTGGAAATGAACAAAGAAATCAAGAATTATAAAATGAAGACATATCCCATTCCGTATAAATTAAAGAATGAGGTGTACCGAGAGCTGGATAAAATGCTGAGGGATGGAATAATAGAAAGAAGTAATTCTCCTTATATTAGTGCCATCACATGTGTAAGAAAAAAATCAGGAGAAATCAGAATATGCCTGGATGCTCGTAATATCAACAGCTATACGAGAAAACAATATGAGAGTCCAATGAATGTTGAGGGTATTTTTGGAAGAATCACTAAAGCTAAAGTCTTTTCAAAGTTGGACCTTCGGCATAGCTTTTGGCTTATTCCATTAGCCAAAGAAAGCAGATGTTATACAGCATTCATGGTGGATGGTATTGTGTACCAATTCTGCGTGGTACCATTTGGACTCCAGAGTTCATGTGCAGCATTGGTCAGAACTTTGCATTCCATTCTGAACAAATATGAAAGGTTCATTCTCCACTACATAGATGACATCTTGGTATTTTCTGAAGATGAGTTGTCACATCAGAATCATCTAAAAACATTAATGAAGGAGTTAGAAACAGCAGGTTTAAAATTAAATTTGGAAAAATGCTCTTTTTACCAAAAAGAGGTCAAATATCTAGGATATGTGCTCAATACACAAGGAGTCAGTATGGATCCAGAAAGGATACAAACGATTCAAGAATTTGCGACACCACATAATCTCAAAACACTCAGAGGTTTCCTAGGAATATTGAATTATTTTAAACGATTAATTCCAGATCTAAGTAGGATGGAAGTGCCACTAATAGAACTGTTAAAGAAAAACCAGAAATGGGAATGGACTCCAGAAAGAAATACAGCTTTTTTACAATTAAAACAAATTTTTACAACTAATTTGCAAGTGTATCATCCGCAGTATGATAAGGAGTTTATACTAAGAACGGATGCATCATGTGAGAGATTAGCTGGAGTGTTGCTACAACAACAAGAAGAAAAGGAAGTTCCTATAAGTTTCGTATCTAGGGTAACCAAAGATTTTGAAAAAAGATATTCAGCAACGGAACTAGAAATGGCAAGTGTGGTCTACTGTGTTACCAAATTAAGATTTTTTCTGTTAGGAGCACATTTTGTATTGGAAACGGATCATTCTGCTCTGACAACTTTGTTTAAAAACAGGTTTGCCAACAACAGAATTCATAGATGGAGCCTTTTGTTACAAGAATATGACTTCGAAATTAGACATATTCCAGGCAAGTCAAACATGGTAGCAGATGTACTAAGCAGAGAAGCACAACAAAGAAGTGAAGGAAGAAAATATCAAATTGGAATCAACAGAATGAAGAATGAAGAAGGGCTGTATTCGTTAGAAAGAATCTTGGAAGATCAGAGAAGATTGGAAGAAGCAGAAAAGAAGAGAGCAATCAACATCAATGGAGTATGGTGTAAGAAGTTGGAAACCATAGAAGTTTATGTCGTAACCAAAGAATTAGCAGAAGAAATCATGAGAGATCTACATGCTGAATATGGTCATATAGGGAGCAGAAAATTATGGATGTTGTTTAGGGAAAATTATTTTACAAGAAAAGATATATCCATGGCGAAAAACATCACTAAAAGTTGTACCATTTGTCAGTTAGCAAAGGAGAAGAATTTCCACAATGATAATGTAGCAAAATCCATAGTTGCAGAGAGACCTTTAAAATTAGTTGCTATCGATTTTGTCAGTAATTTAGCCATAAGTGAACAGGGTTGCAAAAATATTTTTATAATGATTGACATACATACAAAATTTGTAAAGTTATATCCCAGCGAAAGGACAAATGTAAAAACCGTAAAATACTATCTAGAAAAATACATAGAGGAAGTAGGTACTCCAGAAACAATTATCTTAGATCATGCCACATATTTTGAAAGTCCAAGATTAAAAAGAGTTTGTGAAGAAAAAAAAAATCCAATTAAATTTCATTAGTATCAGAAGACCCGCATCTAATCCTGCAGAAAGATATGTCAAAGAGGTGGTAAAATTCTTAAGAATTTTGTGTGCTAGACAACATTATTTATGGCAGGAAAATTTGCCACAAGTTGAAAGATTTTTAAATGAGACACCACATGGAATCACCAAACAATGCCCATATTTCCTAATGTCTGGAAAGTATCCAGAAAGACCTTGGGAAATCAGTAATACAGGGGACATTCAAGAAGTAATGAAGAAGGTGAACCAAAATTTAATAAGAAATGCAAGTCGTTATGTAAATAGAATCAATAAGAAGAGAAAGAAAAGAGTTATTTTTGAAAAAGGGGAGAAGGTACTTATCAGGTCACTACAGGTGCCTAAAAGGAATGAAAATCTGTGTGGAAAATTACTTTTGCCATTTGAAGGACCTTATGTCATTAGTACTGAACATGGGGTAAACAGTTATGAACTAAGACATCCAGAAACTAATAAAATTAGAGGGATATTTAATATAGAGGGAATTTATAAGTATTATGAATAAACATACAAGGGTAGGCAATATTATGACACGAATTTTATATTATTAGATATAAGTTTTGTAAATAGAAGGATAATTAATACATAAGCATATCTTGAGATAAATTTGATAATAACATGACTCAAATAATTTATTGGGAACAGATGTACAGAATAATGATGAATTTATATATTAAAAAAAGAGGTTGATTTATTTTCAAGTAAATTTATAGGAGTTACAAGTATAAATAAATGAGCAAAGTACTATGGACAAATCGATATTTTGTAGAAATTGGGAAATAGGGAATATTATAATGATAAATAGTATATGTGAAAATATGTGGGAAATAAGATGAAAAATAGAATTATAGGAAATATTGAAATATGAAATATAGAGAGTTATATGTAGAGATGATGAAATGGATATTATATGCGGATACAAAAAGAATAAATAATAATGTGGCAATGAATAAAGATACTGAAATAGTATATGCGGAAATAAATGAATAAAGATATAAAATAAAGAGGGGAACAATTATAAGAATTTCTACGAAATTAGTACGAGAAATAAATAGTACAGGAAAAGAAGTAATGAAATTGGGAAAGTACTTGGAAATTTGATTCTGAAGTTGATATAATTAGTGAAAGATTTGTAGATTTTGTTTGGAGAAGTCTGTATTTTTCATAGAGTAAATTATTAAAAAAAAAAAAATATTCAAGAGATATGCTTATTAATAAAAGTCAGTTTATTGTTATGTTAATATTAATAAAATGTTTAAGTTTATCGGTAAGAATTTAGATTTAGTAAGTGCTGATAGTTAGCACTGAACAAAATCCAAATTGGGGGGAAGTTGAAATGATTTCAATAGGTCAAAGAGGATATAACTTAAAGGGATTTTTATATGAGTTTGTTGTTCATGAATTTCATGAAGCCATCACAATGTGGGGTCGACTCTGAAATAAAAGGGAGAAAAGATTAGTAAATTGCTAAATAAATTAATTTTGACTTACCTGGTATAGTGTTAATAATTTCTGAATAGTATAGTTGCCTAGTGTATAGGTGAATCGTCTAAACCTTAAAAGGAATAAAAAAGAAGAATTCTTAAAAAATTATTTAAACATAGAAATTTCAAAAATAAACGTCAGAAAAATAAACTGTCAAAAGTCTGTGGGAACTAAATTAATAGGGGTTTTGTTAAATAAATTACAATGATGTGGAGATGAAAAGAATAAATTATATTAGTATTGTTAAGTTTTATATCTGAATTTTTTTTTATAAATTCCCAAATTAGATGTGATTAAAGTGCTTATGAGAAATTAATGTGGTTTGACAAATATGTCAAAACAGGACAGTTTTATGGTTGAATAAAATAGAAGACGGAATGAAAAAAGAAAGGGGGTTGCTGTTAGCAACGAATAATTTTGGTGGTTGGGGCTAGCTATGGCGGTGAACAAGGAAGAATAGGTTGTTGGAGGCGACGAAAATTTTGGAGGAAGAGCCCTAAAAAGGTGGAATAGTCCGGGAGTGCTTTAAAATCGTTTAATTATAATTTAGTTTTTCCACATTTTCAAATAGAGATATCCAGAATTTGTTCCAGAGAGTAAGAGAAATTTTGACTTATAAATTATAATTGGAGTGCAGAAATGTCATTTAGATTGAAAAAGTAAAAATTCATGAATTAACTAATTGCGATAGGCCTTAAAAATTGAAATATTAATGATCATTAAAATAAAAATATAATAGTACGTACCTTTAACTTCCGAAGAGAGGATAGATATTCCAGTATCACCGATTATTTTGCGAGTAGTTAGTTTTCTTTAAAAAAAAAAAATCAGAACTGTTTGAAAGTGAGTTTGGATAATAATTTTGGGGATCATTTGAAATTTTGATTATATTTTAATGCTAGT